TAGTTTTTAATTTCAATTATTCAGATACATGTCTATTTGTAATTGATTTTTCAATTGCTCTTCTTTCAGCAACGAAGCATGGTTATTGTTATGGTTTATTCATGTGCTTTGCTTTCATGAGACAAAATCAGATTCACTCCTTTACCCTTCAACTCATTCAGGTCCACAAACAAACATCTGGTCTGCAATTTCAGGCCCATGGACATTGACAACATATATTGGAGACAATGAAGGGAAAGCCCATTTACTTGGACCAGCCCATTTAAACAGAGTTATCCAGTTGGAAGTGACAACCCAGTAAAATACCATTCCTTGTTGTTCCAAGAAAATTGGCACATGATTTTCGACCCAGCTACTGCTATGCTATTGACTACAGTCCAAGAAATGCTGACTCATGTACACCTTCGTTGTAATCCAAGCACTTGTAGAGCTATCCAACCTAGGGAATGTTTCGTTTAACATAAAAACTTGGATGAGATTCAATATCGACGGTCGACTCAGGTCTTTCAATACAGGCAAGCATAATGACGCGTTATAAATTATTAACATGTCACTTATATTATTGACGTTATAGATATTTCGGTTGCATGATTAAACCCAAATTTAATATCTTGATTTACATGTTTGAGTTTCCTTTGTTTCAAGTTATGCTCTTTCAATTCACCCCAAAATAAAAGTTACTCTTAGTCTATCGTTTATTGCTAGTTGTTTATCTGATGAATCTATTTCATCAAAGATGCGTCGAAAGAAACCACAAATCACTCATTCCAAATTTCATCAGGCAAGATATTGCAATAGAAATAAAAATGTTAGCTTCAAAGTGAAGTCTGCAAGGGTTTGCAGCTCAAGTGAAAACGAGATATCGTGTTCAAAATAAAAGCCAAACAGCTCCTTATTACACTCATAGCCGTTCAAGTTAAACAAAGCTAAACAAAAAAGACAGGGGAGAACACAAAAAATAAGAAAACTCAATGGAAAACGACCAATTCCAACTCCTCCAAAATCAAAGTTCCACAGCCCATCACGGCACCCCACGTGGCACACAACTGGCCTTCACCAACCCACCTCCCTCCCTCTCTCTCTCTCTCTCTGGTTGGCTTCTGCATACCAACAAGAATGAACTCTACAGTTTTTGAGAAAATGGATTACTTTTCTCCCGTTTCCTGTTGATCTCCAAATCTGACAATTCCCCAGATTTGCCCACTCCCCAATAAAAATTCCCAGAAGGGGGAAACATCAGTTAATACAGTTATTCACAAAGCACAGAGCTCATCAGGATTTGCTGCCAAGTTTTGTGTCTCTACAAAATGCCATCCCAACAGATTCTGCCCATAACATATCACCCCCCTTCAGAGAAATCGCTTCGCAGAGAAGCAGAGGATGACCCGACAACCCGGCTTCTCTTGTACTCGAATTTCGAGGATGAAGAAAAGAACACGCCTTTGAAGCCCCTTCTCCCCAGGGTCTCCAGCTGCACAACCGCCAGCGCTGCCGCTGCCAACAAACACCAGCAACGGCGGCGCCGGACCGCCAGCGACAGCTCCCTTTCTTCCCACTCCGATGAGGGTAGCCGCCACTCCTTGGCCGGCGATGTGGAGCACGCTGCTGCCGAGACGCTCTTGGTGACCCGGTTGAGTTTGAAGCTGTTAAAATATCTTGGGTACTCGAAATTTCTCTTCTTTTTTGTGTTTGGATTTGATGATTTAACTGTTTTTTTATAGATGTTTTTGAATAACCATTTTGTCATTTGGATTGCAACTTAAAGGTCTTAAATTTTGGTCTGGAATGAGTTAGACGTGTAAAAATTGTATCTTTCGAAGTGACCTGTAGGAAAATTACTATGGTGGCTGAATCTCCCTCGAAATTGGATTAAATGTTTGGTTGAGATGAAAATCTTCAGAAATAAAATTTTAATTGAATAGATTTTGGTGGAAATTTAGATGAAATTATTGATTGGAAATTTGGAAGAAATCAGATATGGTCTTTTTACATTCATGTAACTAGAGAAACTCGAGCGTCAAGCGATTATGCTCACATGAGAACCAACACCCTCCTAAACATTTCACATTAGAAAGAGAGAAGATTTGGTTTCAGAGTCACTTCTGTTGTGTGTTCTGTAAAAAGAAATCAGATATATAGCTTGTGCTGTTTCTTCGAGATTCTTTATATAACTTATCCGTGTGGTTAGATGCTTCCTGATCGTATATTTTTATTCAGGGTAGGCTACAGATGGATTACAAGATTTCTTGCGCTTGGTTGCTATTCATTTTTACTTATGCCAGGTTTTATTCAAGGTTTGTTACTTTCGTACACTTATGCTTAACCTCTTGCATACCTTTTAGACATTATACATGTTTTTTTGGTCCATTTCAGACGTTAAATTTGTAGGCATTATCATGACCATGACATAGAGGACTCGTAATCCAGGGGAGCATGACTTAATCCACCTTTCTTTTTGTAGTTGGCTATTATTATTTCTTCTCCCGTCAGGTTCGCAGAGGTATAGTTTATGGCGATCAACCAAGAAATAGGTAGGATACGAATATATGTTTTTTATGTATTTAGGACAATATTCATTTGTGTTGCAGCATTAATACCTCAAGTTTTGTTCTGCAGGCTAGATCTGTATCTACCCAAAAATAGCGATGGGCCAAAGCCAGTCATTGCATTTGTAACTGGTGGAGCCTGGATTATTGGGTGAGTGATGTTGCTCCTTGGCAGTTTAGTTTTTAATAATTCCATGAAAAGTCTAATCTAGCAGTAGTGTACATTTCTGTTGGTTTCGGAATGTTAATCTTAAGCAGTGTGGCTGAGAGGTCACTTTTCTGGGTACCCTTATTCCTTATAACTGAATTGTAGATTCAGTGTCATAGTTTTGGTTTGTTTGTTCAAATATGATCTTAGTTGCCTTGTTCTCACAACAGATTCCTGCTTATCTATTCTTAACATGTTTTTCGGTAATGCAGTTACAAAGCATGGGGTTCTCTTTTAGGACAGCAGTTATCAGAAAGAGACATCATAGTGGCATGCATAGATTACAGGTGAATATTTAAACTTCAAGCAAGCACACATACTACAAATAACTGATGTCGGTTGTCTGAATGAAACTGTGTTCTGCTGAAGTTCCTTACTAAATACAGAGAGATTTGAGTCTTTCTTAAAAAGTTAATTGACTTGACATCTTCGTGCAGAAATTTTCCTCAGGGTACTATCAGTGATATGGTAAAGGATGCTTCTCAAGGCATCTCATTTGTGTGCAATCATATTGCTGATTATGGAGGCGACCCAAATAGGTAATAAAATCTTTTCTTATGTTTGTATAATTTTTTCCGTTGTGGAGGCAATCCTAGTGGCTAAAAGTTGGTGTTTTTCCTGCTATGTTTGTGCAGGGTTTATGTAATGGGACAATCGGCTGGTGCACATATTGGTGCCTGCACCCTCGTTGACCAGGCAATTAAGGAGGCCGGCGAAGGAGAGAGCTCTTCTTGGAGTCTCTCCCAGATAAAGGCTTACTTTGGTTTGTCTGGAGGGTAATGACAGTTTAAGATTATTATGACTATTTCTTTGTTCTTTCATTCTAAATTCGAATGTAAGAGTTCTGCAAGGAATCATACTTATTTCTTTATTCAATCTTGTGTTTCTGATTTCACCTTCTGCACTTTTTCATGTATCTTTGTTAGGTCTGAGTTTTCTGATTCCAAACAGGTACAATTTGCTTAACTTGGTAGATCACTTCCACCGCCGAGGTCTGTATCGTTCAATCTTTTTAGGGTACGGGCTTCTTGGTCTCCTAAAATGTTAATCATACATATGCTCTTATACTCTCATAGTTTTAAGTTCGAACTGCATTTAATTTTTATGACTTAAAAACCTCTCGCAGCATAATGGAAGGAGAACAATCTTTGCAACGTTTTTCTCCAGAACTCATGATTCAGGACCAGAATGTTAGAAATGCTGCCTCTCTCCTACCTCCTATTATTTTGTTTCATGGTACTGCAGATTACTCCATACCATCGGATGCCAGGTATACGTTCCCCTGAAATGAATTATTTGATTGCCTGCAGTTATTTCTTAATCGAAATAGTGCAAATCTATAGTTGGCTCTTCAGAAATAAACTCTTATAGTTCAGTATTTAAGTTTCGTATTGCTTAATATCACTATATTAGAGTGGAAAATATACTATTCAGAAATATGGTTCCATTGCCAGAGTCTTTGACAAACATGTTCTCTGTGCAGCAAGAATTTTGCAGAAACTCTTCAGAGACTTGGAGTGACAGCTGAGTCGATTCTTTATGAAGGGAAGACTCATACGGATTTGTTTCTTCAGGTAAGGGAGCACTAAAGATGGTTCATTTTTAACTCTCATGCCAGTTTTTCATTTTCCTGTTCGATAAGCCCCCCTCATGGGCCTCTCCCCAGGAAAGAAAGAAACAACTTAAAAAAGAAGAGTTTCATATGTTAAATTTAGTCGGTGGATGTGTTGTTCAGGATCCAATGCGTGGTGGTAGAGATGATATGTTTGAAGATTTAGTAGCTATCATTCATGAAGGTGATTTAGAGGCTCTCGCCAAAGATGCAGTGGCTCCGCCAAGAAGGCGCCTTGTGCCTGAGTGCATGTTGAAGTTGGCTCACCGTGTCAGCCCGTTCTAGCCAATTTTTGTTAATCATTTATCAACCCTAAACCCTTTGAGTTTCTTGGTGATTGATTGTATTCATTTTGTACATATCATTAATGACACGTGAAGTTTTTACCCCTTATTTTTTCTGCAACCTTCAGAATTATCCAATTCTCGTCTCATATCAAAGATTTTCTTTCCCTTATTCTTGTTCATACCAAACTATCAGTTAGCAATTTATATTTTGTAATTTGAAGTGAAATAGTTTTTAAACTGCACGTATTTAGCTCATTTACTCGAACATGTTCGCTTAAATTTTGTAATCTCAGACCATGCCTTCGTTGCGGTTAATTTGAGTTTGATTCTAGACAAAACCAGCTCCATAGCTAAACACGAGTTTTTATTTCTTTGGGATGGGTTACGTGGATTACATCAAAGTTACCATCCTTACACACCTTGCTGATTACAAAATCCAAAAACACAAAATATTACGAGAAAACGAAATGAAATCGTTTCTTTTGCTGCATGCCTCATCAGCAATTTGGTCAGTTCTTTGCTGCAGATTTGCCACCTTTACCCTGGTCAATTATCACCGATTTGTTAGTAAAACCAAATTAACTTGACGCAAGAAAATGACGGAAACGCAAAAACGAAGCCATGGTGTTTGTGAAAGTAACTGATAACATATATATATATATATATATATATATATTTATACCTTCTTCTTGGGTGCCGGAGACTTTGGTGCGGCTGCGGCCTTCTTTGGGGTGGCTTTAGATGCCGGAGCTTTGGCATCACCAGCCTTGGCAACGGCAGGTTCTTTCTTGGCCGGCCCAAACAGCTGAGTGCCGACTTGCCTATCCACCTTCATTGATGCCATACTTCTCTAAATTAACTCTCTTTTCGCAAATATACGAAAAATTTAATGTCTGTGTTGTGAATATTGGCTGCTTCTGAAACTACCCTCTTTATAAGTGCAGGGCACAAGTGTAGAAATGGAATTAGAATAACAAGTTATGATAAAAGGTGTTTGGAAGAGAATGGAATAACCGGTATTGGCAAAAAAAAGCATAGCTGCACTTAAAAGGCTGTTGGCATCAGATGCTTTTGCTTGCTTATTGATATATACTGAAATTATGAGAGATCGAATTTCGCCAAATGGGTTGTGAATGACATTTTACAGGAATAACATGCGATCAAGAACTAATTATATGATTCTTTTCATAAATAATTGTGTGATTCTTGGACTTTTGGGGTCTTCTGGAATTTCATTATGTAATAGTAAGTGCATTTAGTAGTGAAATTACACTAATCAGGAAAAACTACTATGATCCGTTGCTCCGAATCCGATCAACGAAACTTCTGTAAAATTAAGTAATATCCCAATACTTACATAACTAAATGTTGAAGACTAGTTTTTGGGGCTCAAAAATCACATCCATTGGCAAAATTGAAAACCCGCTAAGTGACAGTGTAACATACATTATTCAAGCAATACTCTAATCTAATCTAATCTAATCTAAACGACGTGGATAGGAATTTGAACTTAGGTGCAAAGGGGTTAGACTTCTCTATCTAGTCAAATTTGCTATGCCCAGATCCTCTCAGAGTGATTTAAATTATTAATTTATGTATGGTGACAGTATATACAACATTCTCTAAGGGAAGGGCTGAAATGCATGCTCATTTCCAAACATTCTTAGTTTCATTTTTATGAGAAAAAGGAGATCCTTTTGTATGAGTTGTAGAAATGGAGATCGTTATGCATTTCTTCTTTGTCTTAACTCTTGGTATTTAGAAGTTTACCAACTCAATACCAAAATATGTGGGAGATAAATTTACAAACTCTATCACACCTCTCACTTTGCACTCTCAGTAAATTTGGACAAAAGAAATAGAGAAAGGAGGGAAACAAGCAGCTTCGGCAAAACACTTGCACTTTGATATATTAAAAGGAGTTTACAAACTCAGGGTGATAAGTTTACAAACTCTATCACACCTCTCACTTTGCACTCTCAGTAAATTTGGACAAAAGAAATAGAGAAAGGAGGGAAACAAGCAGCTTCGGCAAAACACTTGCACTTTGATATATTAAAAGGAGTTTACAAACTCAACTGCTGAAAATGGAATAGGATTACAAAGAGCCTTACGGGAAGGCTTTCTTATACTTGCAAAAACAGAAGAACCACACAAGTGGTTTTAATAAACAAATGCAAACAAAGACTTCCTAAACCTAGCTAGTGTTGAAATCTATCCATGCAAAATAAATGAAGGTGTTCAAAGTCTTTACTTGCAGCAGCTTTAGACTTTTGAACACGCACACTACATTATTCCAGTGGTTGCAACCACATTTCGGCTAGCACAGAGAAGAAGCATTTAATTTGGGTAAGTGCCGGAACCATGAGTCAAAAAAACAGGTAGCAGTACACAAACATTGAAACTGGCTATGAATGAAGAAGGTCCTAGTTATTCTTCTTCCCTATTTTGATTTTTGCATTGATATTGTAACTTATTGGGTTGCATATATCTGATTTTATCGAACAACAACAGGCCGGTATATGCAGAGGATCTTTAGCCAACTAGAAAACAGAAGAATAAAGCTTGGTGCCTGTTTTTCATGACAGCTTATACAGCACTGCGGAGTCTCTCATATTTCCCGGTCATACGGTACATCAAAGTTCGCAAATTTAATGCCGCGTAATCTCATAAATCTGCTTTCTATTTCACCTTTTATCAATTTCTCTTTAGCATATTATTTTATGTTTTACTTTCAACGGCATTTATCTATTGGACTAGTCATCCTTTAATTTTTAGCACAAAATCAAACCCCTAATTTGTACCAAGAAACTTCAGTTCTATTGAATTTTGATATCTTTAATTTCTTGTGATCCTTGTGATCAAAGTTTTTCAGATTCACTTAAAACATTGTCTAATATTAGAAAGTAAATGGCCGATTCTTTTTGGAGGTTTTCGGATACTGAAAACATACAGAATCTGCCCTTTTTTTTTTATATATTTTTTAAACGGTTAAACACTTAAACTTTCTCAGTATCTTCATATTCCGGCACTTGATTCATATTTATGAACCCCTTTCTGAATGCTTTATGTTTGCAAATTAATATTTCATGTAGTTCAAGCAAATACCAAGCAAAGGTTCCTCTAAAATAAAGTTCTCTTTTATTTATCAGGCCAAGCCTAAAAGGAGAGACATATTATTATCAGAATATGGAGGACCACAGTGATTCAGCATCTTCGTGCACTCCTTGCCTCACACCGTTTCTTTCGTCTAATTCTTGGCTGCAGGCTTGCTTCCTGTTGTCTGATAAAACCGTCGCAAAACAAAAATTAAGGTATTAATAAGCACATGTTTGGTGCCCAATAAATATGAAAATATATGGATCGATGTATTTAGGCACTTACCCTCTTCTTAAGCTCCCTAGGCTTTGTCTCAGCCGTCTTAGGGTCGGGTTTGGAGGCTGGAGCTTTGGGTGTGGTACCACAAGCTTTGGGTGTGGTACCACAAGCTTTTGAAGCAGGCTCTTTCTTGGCCTGCCCGGCAGTGGGTTGAGTGCCAGCAGGTTTCTCTTGCTTGAGTGATGCCATTTCGGTTTTGTTAATCTTACACGCTAAAGTGTTTGCTTCCTGTTGTCTGGCCTCAAGTGTTACCTCTACTAGGGTTCAACCATTTTATAGTCGAAGTTCATAATTGTGACACGGAATTAGAATCCCTACTTGCAGCAGATATAAGGTGAATAAGATGTGATTGCACATGAGCAAAGGGGGATAAAATGGACTGGTGGCCTGTTGGGAGACGGTGCTGAATCGGATGCTTAATCGAGACATATGTAAATTGACATCATTTGATGCGTATTCGAGTGCGTGTATTGGTAGATAGTTGATTTTGATATGCTTAATTAAACCTACAGAGAAGTACAAACACACTATAAAGAAATTATGTACATTTTCAAATTATGTAGACATTAATCCATGCATGTGGACTAACATGGTTGCGTCTCGTTTGAAATTTTGGTAAATTTGCAATTCAATAATTGTCTGAAGGTTAGGCGCGTACATTTTCAAATATGAAGCACTGCAGAACTTTTGACTGCATGAAGCAAGTTAAAAGTCAGCCAAGCTCATGAAATGCACCATTCTACCAGAACACCATATTGCAGCACTGCAGAACTATTTATTGCTTTATGTAACACTTGAAAATCACAGACAATATAAAACGATAAGAATATTTTATGAATAAAAAATAGAGAAACGCTGCCGAGACAGCTATATAACTCGAAACGATTACATCTTGACAAACTTGTTATTCTAAGATTTACAGAGCATCCTATTCATAAAGAAAAACTAAAGGACACCCTAATTCCTAACGGCCGAGAACTCATAAACTTGACGGGCAAAGAATCATTATCTTTGGCCCACAAGAAAACCAACAAAATAATAATAATAATAATAATAATAAAATGAAATAATTTTCCAACAGTAACAACTTCTGAACTTTGATCAATTGCTAAAACATGACGGTTTGGTGACTTCACCTAAACAAGTCCAAGTGGTTCAAGTAAACTCATGTAGCATCCCCCAGAAAAACTGGTATATAGCCTGCAAATTCAAGAAACTGAGCTCCGGATATGGAAGACCTAGCTACAAGCTAAATACAATTCGATCAAGAACTTGAAATCAACTCCCTTAGGCTTCGGTGTGGGGTTGAGGAAGTTTTTATTTTGATCCTTTCATTTTTTTTTTCTTTCACCAGCTTCACTTGAAGAATCTTTGCTAGTAAATCGTCTAATATATTCACATTTTCACCCTTTCCCATTTTTAAGCATGGATTAGGATCATAAGTTAGAACTTTGGCAAGCACATTAAGGGGAAGGACATGGGAGTTTAGGAAGAAGAGACTGATAGTTTTGACTGGAAAATTTACAGATTAAAATTCTCCCTGTTTATTTAATGGGTTTTGAGATTGGGTTGAGTATGAATTTACTCCTTTTGGTCGATTATGTCAGCTTGTTTCAATTAAATTAGTTCCATCAATATCTGCCGAAATATTTTTAAAAGAACCGAAATATTATGTAAACAACCTTTTTGTTATTAAGGTTTTTTATTTTATATATTTTTTCTTTGTTCGGATAATGGAATAAGGCATGTCATCAGCAAATTGAGTTTTTTTCAACAAATCTAACAATTTATCATTACCATCATATCCATTTCCTTGTAACGGAATACAATTCATTACAATTTCTCCAGCCAGCATACATGAAATCTTGGTTCACAATATCAGTTCAAAACCTTCGATTACTCGATAAAACTGGATATCCGAACGTATGTCATCAAGTTCTCTTGCTGCAATAATATGCTGCATGTCAGTTTCTGATCTATCATCATCAAGATTCAAGAAGTCAGTGAGGTTGCCCCATCCTCAATGCCACATAAGCCAAAACCCTATATCCCACCAGCATCACAGCCAATGCAGCTACATCTATCCACATATTATCAAGACCTACACATTTAATACCAGGAAAGTCCAGCACCCTACAATGCACCCCCATCCCACACTCATAAACCTCATGCACCGAGTATTGCACTCCCACAAGAAGCTTGTAGCAGTAATGGCTGTACGAAATGTACTTCAACCAAGCTATGAAAGGCGGCAAGTGCTGAATGTAATATCCGCCTACAAGTAAAAACACCAGCGTTGTCACAGAAGCCAGAGTTGTGCCTTGCTTCACATCCATTAGAATGGCCCCTAGTGCTAGCCCTATGCCTTGGGCGACTAACACATTGTAAAGAACAATGAAAAGGGTTAGTGCAAATGTGACTATTGAAGGCTTGAGACCACTCATCCAATAGCTTATTGTTACAAAGACTGTTGGGAGAACAAGCTCCATTGGCAAATCACCAACCGTTCGCGCAAAAAAATAGGATGAGAGACGGTACATGCCCGAGGAACGTTCTTTTATCAGCATTGGTCTTTCCATAGGGAATGAAAATATGGCATTGGATAGAGGAAAGAAGCCCCAAAATATGGAGAAGAAGAAAAGAAGTCCCACCTGTTGAAGCTACTTTATTAGTATTGCTTCTTATTATAAGTCCAAATCTAGCCTGGTTTTTGAAGTCAGTTTTCATTTTAAAGAAAAACAAAAACTAGTTACTGAAAAAGAAATCTTTAACAGACGAGCAGAGATGAGAGGAAATTGGAGTACCTGATCTTGTATATGCGAAATGTTGGAGTGCCACCACAAAAGACCGGAAATAATTGCAACTGACATGACTTGGAAAATCCTTAAGCGAGAGAAAGATTCATGCTTCCTCTCTTTTAAACCCCTTTCCAGCAAAACGCTAAATTGCTCCCACCAGCTGGTGGTCCATTTGTAATTTCCACTACCTACATACCATATACATGCACAAATGAATATTCCAGCGGAAAATCTAGTTGAAAAATAGAGACTTATTGACTGGAGGTTACCTCTGGATGATGGTGTTCTTGAAGAAGAAACAACTGTGTCTTTATGAGTTTGCTGAATCTCTGTCTTCAATGCAGGGTATATATACTTTTTATAGGAAGATATTAAGAACTGCTTGGTTGTGTTTTGATCTTCTTGGTGGTCTAATCTGCCATTATACTCTACTTCCTCATCCTGTTTTGCATCAGGTGCTATACCTGCTTGTCAAAAAATATTCAAGAGATTTTTATTAAACCAATCATCACGGAAAAAAGGATTAAATCTCAAAGAAAGAAAACAATGTATGACCCACTATATTTATATTTCTTAATGGTGAATGGTGATATAAAGTTCTTCATTTTGTTTTTGTTTTGATCTCATCAAACTCACATGCAATTGGACACTGATGAAATTGTATCTTAAGTCAATAATGTATTATATGTTTTAATAATATGACATCTCGTAAATGGTTTGGAATAACACTACCTTTGACATCTTAGTTGCTTGTAAATTTCTGTCCACAACTTGATACTTACGAGTTCATCGTTCCATCAATTTTAGGTGGTAAAAAAAAAAAAACTAATAAAAATGATTTGAAAACGTAGAGTTTTAACGATAAGAAAAAAATAAAGTGTAAAATAAATAGTACGATGATTGACATTTTAATATAAAAATATAATTTTTCGTTAAAATAAATAGTACCGTAAATTTATCGTTAAAATCCTCTTAAAAAAATTGTCAGATGAATGAAAATGATGCAAATTGCAAAACAGATATTTTCGGACGAGGGGTCAAATCAGACTATACAAGTTTGTACATGCATAGGCGTTGTAGTTGTGGCATTGACTTTGGCAAAAGTTTTTGGTGCTTTGAGTACCGCGTACTCCAAATTTTTATATTTTTAAATAAAGTTCTGGCAGTTAAAATATTCAGAGCATTTAAGAAAGTCCTTAATTTTGGTGTTTGTTGGATAAAAAGTAAAAAACCCTAATTTGGGATTAGGTTTTAGGGTTGGCAACAAGTCCACATGTCCATGTGAATCCTCCCTGGCTAAGAGAGTGCTGAAAGGTTCCTTTCAATATTTTTGTGCTTTCCAAATGCGATCGACTAAGATTAAGAGTCGTGGTCTGCCCTTGCCCTCTATTGTATTCACGGAGCCGTCGGTGCGATGAAACCATTTTCTTTGTGGACCACTCACTCACACGCACGCACTAATATTGTTGTGAAAAATGGACTCGTACCCGAATGATTAAGTGTTAAAAGTTCCTCAAACTTACATTAATCATATGTCTAGTTTGTGACTTGTGGGTAAGCGCTGAGGTTGACATGTACTCATTAAGACTTGCGTATATGAAATGTATCTTTAGGTAAGGTGAGTAATGTTTTCTTATTCGTGTTTGGCATGTTGATGTGTTAATTAAAGATTGTCAATCCAATCTTTTTCTTTTTTAAAGTAAAATATTATTTTGATAACGTAGTATGTCAGAATCTCTAATGTTTTTATATATAAAAAAAATGCATAGTTACCATATTTTGATAATTAGTGCTAGAAACCAAAAAAAAAAAGGCAACGCTAATAATGAGAGAAGAAATTTCATACCGTTTGCAAGATCAAGCAAGACATCAGCCGGGTTGATGAAATTGAACCCGACCTCATATCCAATGGACCCGAAATACTCCATGACCCGACCAGCATGCCCGCTATAAATTGGGTACCCGTCCGATAACACCACTACTTTATCAAACATCCTGTATAGCCTGCTTGACGGCTGATGGATGGTGGTGATCACCGTCCGACCACCACGGGCCAGTCTGAGCAACGTCGTGATGATACGTTGGGCCGTGGTTGAGTCGAGCCCAGAAGTGGGCTCGTCCAAAAGCAAAAGACTCGGGTTGACAAGCATCTCTTGCCCAATACTGACCCGTTTTCGCTCACCACCCGAAATGCCTCGCAGTAGAGGCCCACCAACTACAGTATCACGACACCGGTTCAACCCGAGCTCCATTATCACCGTTTCGACTTGCTCAATTTTCTCTTCTTTTGTAAGCTGCTTGGGCAGCCTTAGCAAGGCAGTGTAGGTTAGGGTCTCCAGAACAGTAAGGTGAGGATACAAGACGTCATCTTGCGAAACGAAGCCGATGTTGTGCTTCATGGAGCTTGAGAAGTTCTGGCCATTGTATGTTATCTTACCAGAGATTTTACCTGGCAAGCGGCCGCCCAGGGCGGTCAAGAAAGTGGTCTTGCCGCTCCCGGATGGCCCCAACATTGCGAGTAGCTCACCCGGTAGAGCGATTCCACTCACTCCATTGAGTACAGTGCGTGTTGGTTTTGGCTTATGTGAAGCAACACAACCTCCGTTTGTTGCTTGCAGCTTGATGCTGTATCCAACATCTTCAAACTGTAGGGAAATGTTAAATTAAATACATATATTACACAAATGTTAGCTTAATAACTACTATAATAGTACCACTATTTTTTTTCTCAAACAATTTAGTTATTACATACTTACCCACATAACATGTCAAATTATCTAATAAAAAAGTTACTCATAAAATATCAAATGCGAATTATCAATAATTGGCCCTTAACTCTAACCTTAAGTGTTATAGGGCGCAACGACTGGTGCAAAATTGAAGCTCTGTGCGAGGTTGGTCGGGGCTGGCCCGGCATGTCGTCACCCAAACATGGGCTCACATTAGTCCTCGACGAAGCGGAGGGTTCGGGCTGAACCGAACAGTTCTGATCAGGCCGGTTCATATTAGAGAGTAGATTGTTTGGTGAAGTGTTTGTCATGCTGTTTTCCTGCCCAAGAGGTATCATAATTGCAGAAAATGTTGCACTATGATGATCAAATACAAATAGAGAGTCAATATTAGGCAAACGGGTGTCTGCAGGTCGACCAGCGAGAGAGAGAGAGAGAGAGAGAGAGAGAGAGGGAGACAGAGACAGAGACAGAGAGTGGTGGATGAATGTAATGGAGGGACTCAGAGGAGAGGAGAAAAGAGGTTTGGCGGGGAAGAGAGGAATTAATAGGGGAAGGAAGGAGGATCACATGCAAGAGAACAAGACGTGATGATTCTTATAAAGTGATCGAAGGCACGAGATTTAAGCAAGCAGCTGATCACTACTACATAAATTAAATTCAAAAATAAAAATAAAAATGAGTAGTACTGTTTGTTAGTTCGGCTTCTACCAGAAAGAGACCCCAACCAACTGAGTTGGACTGAGCATATAGGCGAGGGGTAATGCATTCCAATTAATAAATTAGTGTTTCTTTCCTACTAATTGGCTTAGGTGGGGTACGTGTTTGCAAGGCATTTGTTATATTCTTGTGTTTTGACATTTCAACTTAATTAGTTAACCTCTTATCACTATTTATGAATGATCTGAATTTTACGGGAAATGATAGCGTACACTCCTATTTTAACTTTTCGCACATCTATATTTAATTGTGTTTGTTGGTTTCGTTTAACTTATTCATTTTGATGAATAAAAATAAAGAGAAGTATGCGATGAGATGCTAAAAAATGTAAGGAAAACTAATGAAAAATACTTGAAAACTTTGAGTTTTAACGATAAGGACAAAATAAAGGGTAAAGTAAATAGTACCAGAATTGACTTTTTAGTGTAAAAATATGGTTTTTCGTTAAAGTAAACAGTACCGTGGATTTTTCGTTAAAACTCCCAAAAATGTATGAGAAAATCACTTCCCTTATATGCCGTTTTCTTTTTCTCTTCCATTTCTGATGCTAATTTCAAATCACAACTTGACAAAAATTTGGCTATCAAATTAGGTTGTATGTATTACTATTACTGTATTTTAATATTCCATAAGCTTTGGCAAAGCTAATAATCAAAGGGTATATATATTATACTAAACGTATAAATCTATGTTTAATGTGTCGTAGCTTAAAATTTTCTGTCTAGTTTCTGCTTTTGGTTTGGCCATTAGACTACTTTGTGCTTGAGGCTGAGATTATATACAATAAAGGGTGAGAGATATAATTCAAGAAGTATCACACTCCGATTCCTTTTCCAAAATTAATTAGAAGCACCAGACAGAGAAAGTATGCATTGCCCTTTATTTCTATGCTGCTAGCTAGCTAGCTTATTTGATATTTTCGAATGCAAGAACTGCTGTGGTCCATAATCTTCATTTCGTACGTCCTATATTATTAGATTGGTCGAAGATGTTCCCTTGATAATTCTTTCTTGTTTAAGATATTTAATTGTAGGCCATGGCCACTGAAAAAGTATGCTTGATATTATGTGTCAAAGTTTATGATGAGATAGTCTGGCCGTTCACTATTATTACCTTCAACTTAATCACCTATGCAAACTAAATGTAAATTTCGTGAAAAAAAAAACCTTGTTAGAATTAGTACTAAAAGGAGGATTTAACTTCATCAAGTTTTCAGTGTGATATGTTTAACATTATGGCACCAAAGATCTGGCACCCCAAAGGCTAATGTATATCATCAATACTGCGTGACTGTGTGTTTATTCGATCAATTAATTAAGACTAATGAAGCTGCTAATACATCATCATCGTCCACTTATGCGTTGAACTTAACTTTAAATGCATAGAAATTCAACTAACCAACCCTATATATTTCTTTTTAGGGAGACTTTAGATGCAGTCCTTAGCTATGAATATTCTTTGACTGAAACCTTGTTGATTTTCAATTTCTTATTGAAGTCCCTGAAATTAATGTGATAATTTATTTCTATGTATATTACTATATTTTTAAAATTAAAAATTGAAATTTATAGTTGTTTATATTAAAGAGATTTTAAATAAAAAGACCATAATTTGTGGGATTAAAAATATTAAAATATAAATTATACTATTGTGTGTGTATATATATATATATATAAACATGGGTACATTCAGCAAAATTAACTAAAAAATTATTGTACCAATACATGGATGCGTTCTTCAAAATCACACACACACAAATAGATATTAGGCTCAATAACATTAGTAAATTTCTTCGATTAAACTTGACATGGATACATTCTTAAATCAAAGAAAAAAGAATGTACCCATATAAGTTTAAAAATGGATTAGAAAAAAAAATTGAATAGATTATATATATATAATAAAAAAAGGTACATTTTACATGTAACAAATTGGTATATTTAAGAATGAGTACATTTTAAGATAAACATTTGCTAAAAAAATTATACGAATGGGTACATATAAGATTAAAAAATTGAAAACAATTTTTTTTTAAACCTAATGGGTACAAACTTATTCTAATTTTTTATTTATTTTGAAAATGTTTTGAATTAAAAATTAGTTAGGATTTAATAAAGGTGTGAGTATTAAAATTCTAAGTTAATTATTAATTTTTATTTTAAAAAATTATGTAACTGACATGTAAATTTATTATTACATTAATACTAAAAATTTTGATCAAAATATAAAAACTAATAAAATTTCAATTAATGTATATTAGCAACTAGCGACTGAATACTAACTTTTCCTTCCTTTTATTTGTCTTGGCTTTATTTTCTTTGTAGGGTATCTTCTTTTGTGGTGTGCCTTACGAAAGAAAGAAAGGAAATGCTGGGTTCCTCGTGCCCTTTATTGGTGTCAAATGCCTATTCATTAATACAAGATAGTGGCTCAGATCGTGTCGTCTTGACTATAAAAGGCTTGGTCTCTAGGTGGTCTCACCGTCATTGAAAGGCTGCCATGCTTTTCTATTTTTTTGTTGGAATTGGAATCACCATGTAGCAATTTGGTTGGTGGTCATTATGTTAATTACTATATATCTCACTAATTTTATTACGTATTTTAGGCAAAAAAAATGTAGCATCAATGTGTTGGACCGCCCGGAGAGAAAGTATATATACTATATAATTTACAGGTCGATTGTATTATTCGACCGATAATATAATGTAGATATCCGTCGGAAAATTGAAATGATAATCTGTTAAGATCTGGTGCTTTTCAAGAGAAGATTCGGGTACACAATTGTGTTAAAGTTCTATTATAAAATAAAAACTAATGCAAAGGGTTTGAAAAATTTTAGTTTTAATAAAAAAAAATCATGTTATACGTTTTGTTTAATGTTTAGTACAATGCCCATATTAAAGTAATCCAACTAAAAATGTCCTAACCATAATAAATTATGATTTGTCTATTTTACCCCTAACCTTTTTAGGTTGAGTTCCAAATTTTCGTCGTTAACGGAGTTCATCGTTATTTTGCAGACCTTCTTCTTTTTCTTTGAAACAAAAATATAGATCCTCATACTATTTCATTTATATTTTGTATTATTTCGTTGAAATGTGATCGTCATTATTATTCATAATGTATTCGAGGTACTGTTTTTCAATTTTTCTTCATTAGTGGAGTTCATCGTTTGTTTCTCCAAAAAATAAATTTGAGATCTGCATGTTATTCAATAATAACGACGAGTCACTGTTTCTGGACTATAAAAATAAACTGTTTCTAGATTTTAAGTAACACTGTTTTTTGAATCTAAGTCATTGTTTCTGGAATCTAAGTTATTGTTTTTGGAATCTAAGTCACTGTTTCTTGATCCAAATGAAATAGACACATTGTTTCTTAAATATAAGCTAGAAAAGAAATAGTGAAATTCATTGTATTTTGATTCAAAGCAAAATAAGCATCATGTTTCTTAAATATAATCAAATGATGCATGAAAGAAAAGAAACAATTAAAGGTTAAAACATAGGTTGTTTCTGGAATCTAAGTCATTGTTTCTAGAATCTAAGTCATTGTTTCTATAATTTAAATCACTGTTTCTGGATTTTGGTTTTTTTCTATCCAGATACAGTGTTTGTTTGTGCACAAACAAAACAAACATTGTATCTGATTTTTTTTTTCCAGAAACAGTGTTATGTTTTGGGTTCTCTAGAAACAGTTATATGTTTTGGTGTTTTTTTTTTTTAAGACACTTTTTCGCCGGTTTCTGCCATTAAACTTCTTTGAACTTGTTTTGGCGGTTTTGTTTCAATGAATGCTTCATTTTTCAACTTTGACTTGAACTTTGATTTGGTAAGCCTATAGTACAGTGGTACATTTCCCGGATGAAAGAATGCCTAATGCCTATGCATTTGCACTTTCGACATTAACCTCTACGTTCAAGGGGTCTTTTTATACCAGAAAGTTATTATATATCACATTAACCGTTTCCAGAATATGAAGCCAAGGAAAAAGAGAAATAAATAAACCGAGGGGAAAGGAATACAAATGGTGGCACTATTTTAGAAAGTAATGAAGTCTCAAACGAAGAAAGTCATGGAAGAAAAATCAAAATACACATCCTTCCCTCACACAACCAAAAAACACATCATTGAATGCGTATGAAATGCATATCTAGTATTTTTCTTCCTAAATGCTCATAATTTTGGGTGCACCTTATGTTTAGTCCTGATCTAACAAGAACCTAAGATAAAGACCTAAGTTAAGGTTATGAATTAATCTTAGCTATTTACAGACGCCAGACATATAGGTACATCATCGGGACAATAGGTCCTTATTGGATCTGATTGGAATAAAATACTAACACTATAAATTATTCGTGGTGCAAATAAGAGGATGAGGATGAGAACGAGGAAGAGGACGATAAGGGCACGAAAAAGGTAGACAATAGTTTTAGATGATTTTTTTATTAAACTTTGAGCCCTTTTGGTTAAATAACATTTTAAGATGGTTTTTGGTTAAATATTTGTTGGCCCAAACCCTTTTCATTAAAGCTTCCAATTCAAAAACCTGTACAAGCCTCTTCTTACATTGAAATATAGTGAGTGGAATTAAACTAGTTTTTACAATAATAAAACTTAAGGGTGCAAGTTTGAATGGTGTTTCCGAGATTCTGACTATAAAATTTCCAATTTCAAACTGAAAATTCTAAATCCGAATGCTTTCCAACAAATACAATGGAAATTGGAATGCATTTGGAGATTCGAGAATTCCGAAATTCCAATCTAAATTTATCTTCAGTGTTCTAAACTTATTCCGATATAAAACTTCTAAAACATTCTGATTTTTTTTTACTTATTTACTCAAATTATATATTTTGT